TTTTTTAAAGGTTAAAACCTCATTTAATTTTATGTCTTATAGGGTTTATACTGAGTACAATATTGTATAACTGTAATAATTCAACTGTAAACCTAAAAATTTATAGCCAATTCTGAAAAAGATGCATCTTAGCTCAGAAAATTGTTATTGAATATGTCAATGCTGTTGTAATGAAATGCTTCTTCTAAGTATGTGGGTATGAAATAAATAATAAACTGAAAAAAATTCTATTTGATTATCAATAGTTAGTGCTCACAAAATAATAGTTTTTAAAGATGTTTTAAGTGAGCCAAGTGTGGCTCATGTCTGTAATCCCAGCATTTGGGAGGCTCACAGAGGATGATAGGCATGAGTTCAATCCAGCCTGGGCTACAGAGTGAAACACACACACACACACACACACACACACACACACACAGGCTTATGTGTAGGTTCTCGTGGGAGGGTTGAGTTGTAGATATATAGTCATATATAGTTATATATTATCTGCTCATAATCCTATTATATATGTGTATACATCTATATAGGTATGCATGTGGATGTGGATCTTGCCCACGTCTAACTTCATATTAGGTTTTGTTTTTTTTTTTTTAGTCTTTTTGAGACAGGGTCTTCCTGTAGCCCTAGGTGCCCTGGAACTCACTATGTAGACCAGGCTGGCCTTGAACTCACATGCTTAAAGGCGTGTGCCACCATACCTGGCCTCAGTAGTTCTCTTTTAAGCAATGCTTCAAAGCTAAAAACCAAATATGGCTGGGCATGGTGGCACATCCCAGAGGCAGAGACAGGCAGATTTCTATGAGTTCAAGGCCAGCCTGGTCTACATAGTGAGTTCCAGGCCAGCTGAGGCTACAGGAAGACCCGGTCTCATAAAGAGAAGGGGCTGGAGAGAAGGCTCAGTGGTTAAGAACACTGCTTATTCTTGCAGAAGACCTGGATTCGTTTCCCAGCACCCATACGGCAGCTAACAACTGTCCATAACTTCAGTCCCAGGGGATCCGATGGTCTCTTCTGTCCTTCGTGGGCATTGCATGACATGGGTGCACTTATACCTACATGCAGGCAATACACTTATACACACAAAATTTTTTTAAAATTTAAAACAAACAAAAAAAGGGAAAGGGGGAGAGAGAGAGAGAGCAAGAGAGAGAGCTAGAGAGAGAGAGAGAGAGCGAGCAAGAGAGAGAGAGAATATTAATGAAAAATACCCAAGTACCTGAGTATCCATCAAGAAGTCACTGGCTAAATTATGAACTTCTGCACAAGAACTATTATGCAGTCACATACATAAATAAGTGATTGACTGGCTGTGACAAGGTGTGCTGATGCACACCTGTGATCCCAGCACTTGGGAGGCAAAGGCAGGAGAATTACCACAAGTTTGAGGCCAGCCTGGACTACACAGTGGGACTTTGTCTTGAAAAAAAAGGGGAGCTGGGGAGATGGCTCAGCAGTGAAGAGCACTGGCTACTCTTGCAGAGGACCCAGGTTCAGATTCCAGCACCCATATGGCTGTTAACACCTGTCCTTAACACCAGTTCAGAGGATCTCATGCCATCTTTTGTAGACATGTAGTGCACTTATATACATTCAAGCAAAACACTCAGATATATAAAATAAAAGTCTTTTTTAAAAACCAGGGGATTGGTGCTGGAGAGATGACTTATCAGTTAGAGGCATCAATTGTCCTTGCAGGGGACCCAGGTTCAGTTCCCAGCACCCACATGGCAGATAACAACCATCCATAACTCCAGTTTCAGGGAATCAGGTGCCCTCTTCTGACCTCCATGGACACTGCATGCATGTGGTGCACTTACATTCATGCAGGCAAAACACTCATACACATTAAAATAAAAATAAACAAATAAGAAATAAAAGTCAAATGGGGTTGTGAATGGCTCAGTGGGTAAAGACACTTGCTATGCAAACCTAGTGACTTGAGTTCAATCTCCAGAGTCCATGTAAAGCTAGACGATCAAAACCAACTCCACAAAGTTGTCCTCTGACCTCTACATGTATGGTGTGACATGAATGCACCCTCCCCCCCCACACAGAGTAATAACAATGAATAAAATAAAATAAATTGAGGATGCTGTTTATGCTGTTTACACACATAATCTTTAGGATATATTAGTATCTGAAAAAAGTGCATGTATAAGAGTTTGTACAATATCCTGTTTGGGGCTGAAGAGATGGATTTCTGGTTAAGAGCACTTGCAGAGAACCTGGTTTTGGATCCCAGCAAGCACAGGATGACTCACAACCACCAGTAACCCTAGCTCCAAGTGATCTGACATCCTATTCTTTATGTATACATACATGCACGTGGTGCACATACATATACATGGGCACACACATACATACACATAAAATTTTTTAACTTAAAAATAACCTTGAATACCTTGAATTCATAACCCTGAAAGTCTTACCTTAAATGAAGATAAAATATTTAAATTAAAATAGAATATATTCATCACAATAATGCTTTAAATCAAATAATTGTTGATTTAAATATGTTTTTCCTTTATTTGAGAGAGACTCTAACTATATAGCTCAGACTGTCCTGAAACCCACAGTGATCCTCATTCCTCAGTCTCCCAATTACTGAGATTTCAGGTGTGTGCCACCATGCTATTTTAAGAAGCATTTTTATTTATTTTTATTTTATATGTATGTGTTCTTCCTTCATGTAGCTAAGTAGACCACATGTGTCCAATGCCCACAGAGGTCAAAAAAAGGGCATTGGATTCCCTGGATCTGGAAAGAGCTGCATTCAGAACCCTCAGCCATCGCATTACAGAACGTTAAGAACATCATCATTGTCGTTAGCCTCAGGCTCTCTGTATTCTGCTGAATGGGACACACAAGTGATTTGGCATCTGCTTTGAATGATTGTGTGGCCCTGGGAGTGTCCGTAGGGTGTTTTGTCAGAGATCATTATTGGATGTGCATGCCATGCAGTCTGCCTGCAGCCTTTATGCAGCAAAGAGGCAGAGGAAGGGAAAATCCTTTATGCACCAAAGAGGCAGCTTTTATGTCTCCTAAATCAGTAGCTCCCTGGGCTTGTGTGCCTTTGCTTCAAACTGAGAATGAGGCCATTGGTGTCCTTGTTCCTGAGACTTTCGTTTGGACTGAACTACACTATCAAACTCCTGGCTTCTCTAGCTCAGAAACACTCTGTCCTGCAGCTTCTCAGCCTCTGTGGTTAAATGAGTCAGCGTCCCTAATACATCCCTCCTCATCTAGCCTGTTCTGTTGCTCTATTTTGTTTTAATCCTGATTCCATTTCATTCGTTCTATTATTCTATTCTATTCTATTCTATTTAATGTATTATTTTGTTTGACTCATTCATTTTTTATTTTATGTATATGAATGTTTTGCCTGCCTATATATAACTGCACCATATGTATGCAATGCCCATTAAGGCCAGAAGAGGGTATCATATCCCCTGGAACTAGAGTTATGGATGGTTGTTAGCCACCATGCGGGTTCTGGGAACTGAATCCAAGTCCTCTGCAGGAGGACTGAGCTGCTGAGCCATCTCTCCACCCCCACCTTTGGTCAAGAATTTCATACATGAGTACTGTGCCTACATCGTTTCCACACCTCCCACCCCCACATTCAACACTGAGTATGTCCCCCCAACTCAGTCTCAATATCTTGTCCTCTTTTTTGATTATTATTGTTACATACACATATATACTGTTGTAAACGAACACATATAATGCACTGAGTAATATATAACGAACACCTCACTTAGAGGTGCTCCTGTGTACTGTGCTTAGTGCTAACCACTCGGGATTAGACAACTGCTCAGGGAGCTCGTTCCTGGAGAAAACTAATTCTCCCTCCCTCAGCATCCACTGATTACCTCTAGCTCTTCCTTTAGGGGTGGGACCCTGAGGCATTTTCCCCAACCCCACTGGCACGTCAACAGGTGTTGTCAAATTTCTCTTTTGTTTGCTTGTTCTTTGTCTCCCTGTAGCCCCAATTGGCCTGGAACTCACTATGTAGACCAGGCTGGCCTTGATCTCATAGAGATCCACCAGCCTCTGCCTCCTGGGTGTGGGGATTAAATGTGTACACCACCATGCCCGGCTTGTTTCTATTCTATTTATTATGTTTTATTTTTATCCTATTTCTAGCTGATTCTTTCTGTCTCATTGAGGATTTCGGACTGAAACAGAGTTTGCAAGATGCTCTGACTCCTTCCCTGCATTTCGTTTGCTTCAACCAAAATAACACACCACAACAGACTCATGTAACCCAGGCTGGGCTTGTGCTCACTGTGTAGCTGAAGGGGATCTTGAACTCCTGATTCTCCTGTTTCCACCTTCTGGGTGCTGGAATTACAAACACTCACCACCCCACAGGGCTAAGCCAGACATTGAGGTTATTTGCCAAAACATCAAGCAATGCCTTTTTTTCTTACCAAACCTTTTTTGTGGAGCTGGGAATCGCTTCTAGAGTCTCAAGAATGTTAGATAAGTGCTTTACTGAGCTACAACCCCAGCCACCAAACTTCGGTTTGAAGCAAAGAAATCATTTCTGTTGGGGGACCCTGCTGCTAAGGTTGTAGTCCTCCATGTCCAGATAGCTCTAAGGGGCTCAGCGCTATATGGAAGGACTCCCCTTCTCAGTGGGGGCCTCCTGCTCTCTGCCTGACTTACCCGGAAAGTGCCACCAAGCACGGATGCCTGACCTTATTTAAAACATGACCTTTGGCATAATTACCTACAATAAAATTGCCCCCAGGCTTTTTCTATATGATAATTAGGCATTGCCCTATAGTCGGATGATAGGCTCCCCCTACCACATGTAAATAAAGCATACTATGAGCACCTATCAGCTGAAGCTTTGGCTGTTGCCTCCACACTATATTTTCCCTGACCCCCACTAAATAAATGGAGCTGTATAACTAAATCTGACTCCCTGGAAAGTCTTTTCTGTTGTGCTCACTGGCCGTCCTGAACCCATTCGTCACTTCTGCTCCCTTTGTCCTCATGGATCGGTGGCCAACGGCCCTTGAGGGGAAGGAGAGACCCACACATTTCATTGAAATATTTTATTTATATTAATGTTTTGTGATTATCATTTGCTTGATTGACAAGGCCTTGCTTTGTAGGTGGCCTCAAATGCACAATCCTCCTGCCTCAGACTCATGAGTACTTGGCCTGCAGGTGTGCATTACCACTCCCTCTGAGCTAATATTGTTAAGGTTCATCCATGTTGTGACACCTGTCAGTACCTTGATTCTTTTTATGGACAAATACTATCCACTGTATGTGTAGACTGTGTTTTGTTTACGCAGTCATCAGAGCTCGCTATGTAGCTGAAGATGACCTTAAACTCCTGATCCTCCTGCCTCCACCTCCTAAGTGCTGGGATTAAGCCTGGCAGTTGCTTACTTTCAGTAGTTATTTTCTAACCGTCAAGAAGCAGATCCAAGCCCCACCCTTCACCACAGTCCCCAGAGTTGTCTCCAGATCTAGCAGAATCAGAGAGGAGATATCTATGGGAATACAAACTTGGGGTATTCACAGTTCTTACTTTTTTCTTCCATCGCAACTGGAGGGAAATGCATCATCCATTTGGATTCCAGCAGGACCAAGAAGCAGACAGCAGGGAGAGAACGGAACATTAGACTCAAATCAGTGTCATAACTAAGACAGCTACACAGGGACATGTCTCTGGAGGCCAGCCAGTACATGCTGCGTAGCAAAGGTACTCTGTCCATCCACCATTCATTGACCAACCCATCCATCCACACCTATCTAGCCTCCATCTAATCATCCATCTATCCATCCACACACCCATCCATCATCCATTCACCCATCCCTCTACCTACCCATCTACCCATCCACCCATCCATCATCTATCCACCCGCTCATCCTTCCATCTACTCATCCATCAATCTACTTAATCAATCCTCCATCTACTCATCCATAAATCTATCCATTATGCATCTACCATCCATCCATCTAACCTTCTAACCACCAATGCGTCATACACCTGCCCATCATCCATCCGCCCATCCTTCCATCCATTCACCACTCATCTATAATCTACCTATCATGTATCCACTCCCAGTCATAAGTCTATCTACCCACACATCCAACCAATATCCACTTGGTCCATACTCTGGGCCCTGGCCTATGCTTAGTGCTGGAGACACAGATAAATTGGACTCAGTTTTGTTCTGTAGACACTTGCAAAGCTGGTTTGGAAAAGAGCTGCTGGTACAGAAGTAAACAAACCATACCATGCCCTGTCCTCCTAGAACTTTCAGCCTATGGATGCCTCAGTCAACAACAGGCATTGAGCCTCAGAATATCCAGGCAAGAATCTGTAACCATCAGCCTCCAGCCATCAAAAGATAATCTATTAAAAGTAGATCTCTAAGTTCACTTTGATACATGAGAGGGAGATGGTTCATCTCTTCCTTACAGTTATCACATAGGCAAGGGATAAGGAGAGTAGAAAAATCACTGTTGGAGGGACACTACAGTAATGATTTCTTCAGTCAAGATCCACAAATGGCTACTAAAATAAGTGGCCAAACTTGAAAAGAAAAAGACCCAGAATATTCTGGTTCCTATATTCTTTCTGTTCTTAGTGGTGACTTTCTTCACCCCTCCCCCCATTCTCTCCATCCTCCTGCTACACTGACTATTCTCTGAGCCTTGAAGGGACTCAATATCTACTGGACTTTGGACATGCAGTTCTATCTGCCTGAAACAATCTCCCCTAACTCTTTAGTTGGCTAACTCCTCCTTCGTATTGAGCTCGTGTCTAAATGTCTTTTCCAGAGAGATCTTATCTGAAACCCCAGCTAGGATGTGATCATTTGTTTAGCATGAGAATTACATCAAGAAAGAATTATATCTGCCTTTTCATAACTCTCTTCCCAGCACTGAATACAAAATAGAACTCCAAAGCATTGTCGATCCAGTGAAAAAAATCAGAGGTCAGTTCTGACAAGGCTCCAGTCCTCCGCGATGTAATCTTTGGCATCTGTAAACCATAAAGGTCACTGGTACTTTGGCTACAGGGCAGTTAACTCCTGGGCTGTTAACTCCTGGAATTCCACAAATGCAATCTCTTCAATGACACATGGCAGTCCAGGAGATTCTGTCACTCCCAATGATCATAGGAGCACAATGAGGCTGATCGACACAGGTGGTATGTCTCCCACGTGGCAAAACAACACTGCAGAGGACCAGGTGTAGATGCCAGGATGTCATCTCTCTGGAAGAACCACTAGCCAGTAACTCATGCAGCTGACAGTATCTCCAAGAACAAGACTGTCAACATTAGATTCACACAACCACCAGTATCTTCATGAACAGGGCCACCAAGCCAGGACTCATGAAGCCATCAGTTTTCCAAGGGCAAAACCATCAATAAAGAACTAACGTAGACACCAGTGTATCCACAGGCAGGGGGACCAAGCAAGGACTCATACAGCACTCAGTATCTCCAAGGGCAGAGGCAGAAACCCAGGACTCATGCAGTCAGCATCTCCATGTGGGAAAGAATGGATGGCCTAAGCCTAAATCAAGGAAGCCTGTGGAAGACTTCAAGTTCTCTATCTGAATCCAGCCTCTGTGGCCTCCACATCCTAAGATGCCATGGAGAGAAGATGAGGAGCAGCAGGAACTCCTACCTTCATGAGGAATGCAGGCCTCTGCCAGGCCCAGGAGAAGGAGAACCAGCAGGGATCTCTTAAGGAGCAGCTCCAATCTGCACATAGCGAGGCTGGGATGGAGTTAATGCACTTTTTCCAGGTTCAAAGGGACTCCGATCACCTACTGTCCTCCTGAGCTCTCAGGGCAAAGCTCGCTGCCCACATATGCCCTCCAGCTTCATGGAAGCAACCAGCTAGCCAGACCTGTGCCCATGCCACAATCTGCTGGCCCAGCAACCATCCTGTCCCACTGGCACATGATATTTATCTTAAAGAAACAGTCTATAGTAATTGTGTGTTGTGCCTGTTTGCTTGTTATCCTCCCACTCAAAAGTCACCATGTGTTGCCTATTTTGTTTGGTGGACCCATAGCTAACAGTGATTTTTGCATTTTTAGGGTTTTGTTGTTGTTTTAACTCTCTCTCTCTCTCTTTCTCTCTCTCTCTCTCTCTCTCTCTCTCTC